GGTCTGCGATTGCGCCGATGGCCAGAACTATCTGCGTGGCAAGTGTCGCCCACTGAACGGACTCGGCGAGTCCTGCGAAACGGTGAGATTGGGAAAGGATCCTATATATATATTCTTTTAATTTTTAATGGTTTTTTAATCCTGCTCACAGGACTTGGACTGCTATTTTGGATACGATCGTGCGTCTGTGAGTTGTCAGCAAAACGTGTGCGGCTGTGCAAATGGCTATTATAACAGATATGGAAACATCTGCCGTCGAAAATCAATGGGTGAGCTGCAGATCCAGAGATAGTCATCAATTTTTGATGGACCCTATTTAATCAGAATATATACGGGTTTTGTCAGAAAGTTTAAAGTACAGGGTAGATGTCAAAATCATTTTAACTTTTGTCTTCAATTTAAATGATTTTTTTTGGTGAAATTAAGTTTCTCAATGTCAAGTTTGTATTTATTTGACTGACCTTAACTATAAGCAATGTTCTAGTTAAATTTGATGGTCGATACCCGTCCTTCGAAGAGTTTTTAGACCGTATATCCCGTTAAATCTTGCGACAACAGACTCTATTTGCCTATTTGAAATATGTAACTTAACAATTCTAGCTTTCTCTGACAGATAACTAACTAGAACCTTAACGTGGCATTGAGAAATTGACACTAAATGTATTATTTATCATGATTATTTTTGGAATTTTAATTTCATCGAATATTGTGAGTGGTAAACATAAATAAGTTACTTTTAAATATCAGATTATTAATTTATTTAAATTTAAAATGAAACGTTAACTAATTTCTTTAAAAATTTTCAGAAGAAAACGATGCCTGCGTCGTTAACGAGGACTGTGATGCACTGGGCGCCGGTGCCGAGTGCGTGGGGCTAGTATGCACCTATGTGGACGAGATCACAACGACTCCGGCGGAGGACACGGAGACAGCCAATCCGGGCTCGCCGGAGGATGACTCAACCACAGCGGAGGCCATCACCGAGACCGCCGAGGCTGAGCAGGAGCCGACCTTCAGGAGCCGCCGCCGCCAGCTAACCAAGGCCTTTGTCCATGCCCCCCCGCCCACTCACAGCGATGCCGCCGCCCAGGTGTCCTTCGCCCAGCTCACCAATGGCGATACCGAGCCACTCATCTCCCCGCGATCCCATGAGATCGCGGTCCAGACGAGCATCGAGAAGTACGAGCTGAGGGAGGTGGGACGCAGTGTCCGGAATGCGGCCACCACCACCACAGCCACCGCCTCCACGAGCACCAGTAGCCGACGCACCTCCAGCCGGAACCAGAGCCACGCCCTCAACCAACGCCGCCGATTTCCCGCCCTCTTCCGCTTTGATGACGAGGACATCAAGACCTACTCCACGCTGGGATCTAGCCGCGATGACGACGACGCCGATGAGAAGAAGTGTGAGTACATATCACTCTCCTTTCATTTGAATTAATCGACAAAACGCGAATTCTTCAGTCCGATTTCTACATTGCCTACAACTTAAGACTTTTTTGGAAAAATTCAACAGTGTTGCTTTGAACTGTTCAATATTTGCTTATAGCATCTCAAAAAATTCTTATTTAACAATTAGTTAGGCCTAATAAAATATTTTGAATAATAATTTTAATTAATTTCCATTTCCCTACTCAGATGGCAGCAGCTGTACGGATAATGGAAAGTCATGTTCGGGTCTGCCGCACTCGATTTGCACAAAAAATATTTGCCTATGTCGCCAGGGTTATTATGCCCGCAATGGAAAATGTTTTGCAGGTGAATGAAAATTAATTATATTGTCTAGGACCTTATAAAATATTACTATTTCTATTGTAGAACTGGGAGAAATCGCAGAGAGCACGGACGAGTGCGAATATGAGTTCGACGAGCTGTCGAAAACTTGCGTTTGCCAAAAGAACTATTTTTACGAGAGGGATTTACGGAATTGCAGGAAACGTGAGTGGATCCCTTGGTTTAATCCTGTGAATCTATTTAATAACCCCTTTTATTAAATAGCTATCCAATATCACCTGTCCTGCACATCGAACAGCCAATGCAGCCCGTTCGGAGCCTCCTATTGCCATCCGGAGATCCCAAGACGGTGCACCTGCGAGGAGTACGCCCTGTACGATGCCATCAAACAGCTCTGCGAATATAAACAGGGTCTGGGGGCCGAGTGCGAGTCGAATGATGCCTGTCCCGTGGATCACTCCGTCTGCTCCAACCGCCTGTGCGTCTGTGCGGACAACTACTTTGAAAAGGACGAGATGTGCCTGCGGGGAATCGGAGCCGACTGTTCGGTGGAGGATGACTGCATAGCTGAGAACACCAGCTGCTTGGAGAAGGACGAGGAGGAGCAGTCACGCACGTGCCAGTGCCGAAAGGGATATGTGCACTTCAAGGATCAGTGCCTCAAGGAAGGTTTGTATTATCTATAAGATGGTTATGGAGTTTAAATGGCCGAAATTGATCAAAAATCATTTGTACCTATAAAAGGGAGTTACTATAGGAACCAATCAGCATAGATTCTTTTAATAATTAACAAGATATGTTATTTCCTTTAATTGTAAGACCCAGTTTTTGAAGTTTACTATATAAAATTACTATTTTTAATAGCTGAGGAGCTGGAGGACGAGTGCGTCGAGGATGAGCAGTGCAAACCTCTACTGGCTAGTTGTAATTCGGAGGGCAAGTGTGGTTGCACCGATGAGCAGCATGAGAAGAACGGAGTCTGCGAGGTTAAGCGCGGTAAGTGATGCCTTTTGATTTCAAATTAAAATTCCCCTTTAAAATATAGTTATTGAATTCCACAGAGCTTGGAGAATCATGCACGAAAGCCACCGAGTGCTATATAGAGAAGGATCCCGAGAATATCGAATGTCGTAACTCCGTGTGTCAATGCAAAGTCGGTTATACGGCGAACGCCGAGCAAAAGCAGTGCATTCGCGTGATGCCCAATAAGAAAAGTGAGTACAAGTATATCTCTAAAATATTAAATTGTTTCAAGATTAAAAACCAAGAACTTCGAAAATAATAATAAAGAATATTAAATTTTCGAAGATTTAATAATATAGAAATATGCTTAACTGAAAGAACTGAACATTCAGTTCAAGAACTTACCAATTTATAAGATTTTATACCCCTTACTAAAGTTTTCTTTATCTCCCCCTATCCATAGATTCTTCCGGTAGACCCAGTGCTCTCAAAATCATCACCTTCATGCTGATTGGCTCCGCTTTCCTGATCACCAGTGCGGCCATAAAGCAGGCCTACTACTAAAAGCAATCGTAACCCTTTTACAATCGTTGTGAGGAATGGCGAGGATAATCGTATGAAAGACAGCGGGCGACGGCCAAGGATCCCGGGGGGAAAATGGGGATCTTGGGTGAACTGGAGTGGCCAGTATTAGCCAAGTTAGCGGCATGGATCCATGTCCATGCGCAACGTGAATATAAATCAAGTAGTCCGTAAGCTGATATTTAGGAGCCGAAGCAATATTTGGAGAAGGGTCCCCAAAGGGACACTCGCTTATCTAATACGGCTAAAAATAACGACAAATTATCTTTAAGTTTGAAGTTAAACTGCTTGTTGATAGGCTAAGCAAACAGTTTTTAACCAAATTGTAATATACATTATAATAAACTAAGGCCAACGAAGAGTTGTATCAAATTCAGAAAATATGTGTTTAAAATTTTTGGTTTGAAATTCAAACGAAGGTCTTACATTTTTTAAAGCAGAAACCCTTGAAAATTGTATCTGTATTTTTGGGTTTCCTATGTCAATATTAGTATTTCGAAAGACATCTAACAATCGACTCATTCCAATTTCCAAAATTTACTCAGATAGTGAAATAGTATATTGTACATCATCTATATGGAACCTTATGTAAACGGGTTTTTTAGTTACTTGATGGAAAACCAGCTACAATGTGAAGACATTGAAATGGAGGATGCACTGCGTCAGGGCGCGCAGAGCTGGAATGCCCTAAGCTGTAGAGAAAAGAGTCGGTATCGGTCAAGGGTAAGATACAATTAAAATCATATAAAGTGTATTGGACTACGAGTATAAAGTGCGATTACCTGTAACGGAAAAACTAATCCCTTTAGAAAGTGAAATGTAAGATGGATAAATGTCCTAATCGCCGTCATAGGCATAGACCGGAGAAATGCAAAAGCGTGAAGAGTTGTCCCAAGAGCACATATCTTGGGAGTGGTCACAGGATGCAACCTTCTTGCAGGCAACCAATTTCCAGGAATAAATATGGCCTAAGAAAATGCAACTCTCGACGCACGAGGCGTTCATGCTTACTAAAACGAAGAACAGAAGTAAGTCCCCCAATATTTATTATTCTTATAAAATATTTTAAATATTGAGTATCATACAATAATGAGTGAAGTACAACAAAAATTACTATTTTAAAAAGTTATAATTTTTATAATTATTAATTTTCTCACTAATAAATAAAAATTACTTCCTTTTATGGTCAGGACTAAATGTTTTAATTTACAAAAATGAAACGCCTGTTCAAATATTATATCTAAATCTGCAGGGATATAGTAACTTGCATTTGTTAAAGCTAGTTTAGAAATTATATATATTAAACCTAAGCGTACATTTATTTGTGAGTACAATATAATTTCCTTACTCATACTCTTTCTTAATCTTATAACATATAATGTGTGATTACAATTGGTTATATTATTTGACTTGTCAACGTAGGTTATAAAATAATCAACAGTAATTTTGGTAGACTTGTTTATAATTATTTCTTGGTTGTTTTAAATTTGTTTTTGTTTTAAATTGGCTATCAGTGTATTGCAGACATCTAAATTGCAATCAATTTCCTTATCAAATCTCGGGTGCTCATAAAAGTGTCAATTAGTAGCCGGGTCAAAATTGTGGGTGCATATTTTGATTTATTCTTCGTAAATAAAATTTATGGTAATTTTAAATTGTGTTGCCTATCCTAGTCATCTGGGAATATTCAGTCAAAGAGTTTTCGATTATCTGAAGTCCAGAAATCGTTTTGCACTCTGATCCAAGACAACAGGACAACAGTGTCAAAATATTCTGGGGGAAATTTCAAAGTACAAATAGGTAAAGTCTATTTTGTCGTGAGAATTGAATTGCCTGTAAATTTCAAGTCTCAAAATGTCCCACACTTGCCCGGTCCATAATAAGGACTCAAATGCTTTGACCATGTAAGTTTTGAACGGATTTCTTCTTTGTGGATAAAGTACCAACAATTTGGTTCATATCTAGTACCAAATCTGCTAACTCGGACGACACCAAGATCGCGATGTGTGCTTCCTTGGAGCTGGACAACTGCCGGGCTGAGAACTACCAGCTGAAGAAGAAGCTAATCGAGTACGAGGCCACCATCCGGAGCCTCGAGCAGCTGGTGTCCACCATTGCCGAGAAGCAGCACCAGATCCTCAGCGAGGTAGTGGAGCTGCGCAAGGAGAGTCGTGCCGCTCCGATGGAGAACACTCCCCAGGAGGAGGACATAATGGGCGACTCGTCCGGTGTCCTCCAGGACGACGACGGGGATGAGGATGGTTATAGGCCAGATTCGGAATCGGAAGCCAACGATACCCAGTCGCCGCTACTCTCTACCAATTCCTCGTTGGCTTCGCTGGTTTCCTTGTGCTTTTCATCGACCAGCTCCATGGGCACATCCTTGGCCGATGCTAGCTCAGGTTCCGACTACGAAAGGAATCTATTTAACGAAATGGATTTGTCAGATCAATCGGAGGACCATGAGGAAGCCGATCCGCTTTCAATCACACCTGATCCAGAAATTTCGCCAATACAGGATTACACCTCTGAGTCCGATGGCGAACAGTAAACCCAATCGCAAATGTATTTCCACATATTGCCGAAATAGAGTATTATATGTTGCGTTAAACAAAGTTCAGCTTTTAATAATTATATTTCAGAGAACTCAAAAACAATATATTTTTGACTGTTCTCTTTAATGGTATAAAACTTAAACAAGTATAAAATTAACTTATGTTAATAAGTTATTACTTGAATGTTACACAAAATTATAGAAAAAAGGGTAGTTAGGGGAATATATTCCGAAAATGTATTATTTGGTTATCCCAAATTAAATGACTTAAAAATAGTTATCTCTAGTAAATTGGATATTTTCATTGTACTTAAGTACAATGCCGATCTTTCAGTTGAACCCAGAAATCGGGCGGTGAGATTATCAGACCGTTGAGGTTCTGGGAGAGATCGGGCAGTCTATCATTGGGGCCCAGGACGAAGTCAAACTGCTGGCACATGGTGGCCGTCATCAGGAAGAGCATGTTCCGGGCGAATGTCTCACCGGCGCAAAGCCTTTTTCCCGCTCCGAAGGGCAGAGAGACATCCAGCTTCAGGCTGAGCTTGCCCTGCGAATCGAGGAACCTTTCCGGCCGGAAGTTCTCCGGATCCGACCAGACTCGAGAGTCCGAGTGGAAGGCATACAGACTGGGAATCACAATGGTATCCTAGACAAAGAAATCCAAAAGTTTTTAGTATTATATAAATTAGAGGTTTTATAACTAGCACCCACCTTAGGTATCCGGTAGCCCAGCAATTCGGTATCCTCCAGAGCTTTGTGCGGCACATCCGAGGGCACCAGCGTTTCGATGCGGAGACCTTCGCGAACAGTGGCCTCCGTGAAGGGCAGGTTTTTGCGATCTTCCAGCGTGGGCAGTCTTCCGCATCCCACCACCTCCTGGATTTCGGACTGCATCCTTTGCAGAACAGCCGGATATAACATGAGATACTGAATGAGCAGCGATAGCTGGGTACCGATGGCAGTGAAGGCCGGAAAGGAGAAGTCCACCAGGCCCATTATGAACTGATCCCTGTTGAAACCATAGCCAGGAGATCGCCGCATCTCCGCTATATAGACATCCATGAAGTTGCGCTCCACACCCTCTTCGTAGCTGTCCAAATATCGATCGACAAAGTCTGCGAAAAACTTGCGCACAAATATATTGGATTCATGCAGCTTGTTGTAGCCACTCCATTCGGGCCAAAAGTGTCGTATCCAGGGAAGGATGCTCAACATCCTGCCATAGTCATCCGCATTCCTCTGAAACTGCATGCCCATTTTACAGAGCTCCACTAATCTGGCCATTTCCTCGCGACTCTGGCACTCGTTGTACAAAATGTGAAAATGGCAGTTGGCCGAGAAGGGGTTAAAGAGCAGCGGCAGGAGCACGCGGTATCCTCCTGGTTTTACCATTTCGTGCTCATGTGGATATTTCGGTCCGTTGCGGATCATGTCGAGCATGTCGGTCAACTGCTCCTGGATGACCAATTCGAGTTGTTCGAATCTTCGCCCGAAGCCAAAGTCTCGTAGATAGCGCAGGATAAAGCGACGCTGCTCCTTCCACAAGGGTCCATCTTGAAAGAAAATTCCTGTAAAGAAAGAAGCAAAATTGAATTTAGTAATTTTATATATATATTAGTAATAGCAATTAAAGTCCATGGGTCTTATCACTGAAGGTGGCAAAAGTTGATATCAATACCACCATTTAAAAAAATTCAAGAACATATTGCTGATTGGTATTTAAAAGTAAGAGTACGAAGCATAGCAGATATTTTTTTCCTAAGCTTCATAAACAGAAATATAAGAATATTAATCTATAAAAGATCTCAAAGTAGCCAAACAAAAATAAGTTTACTTTCTTTGACTAAAGTGCAGCCAGTGCTAATCGGTTTGAAGCGATAAGATTGTTTTGTTCACCAGCTGCGACAATTAATTCACGATTGACCCCAATACTAAACAACGCCATTAAAAGTGTTCACGATCAGAGGCCGATATGATAAGACTCACCTCGGACATCTTGGCCGGGATCTCGCATAGCGGCCACGTAAAGTTGGGGACGTCCGTCGAACACCTTGTTGTTGAGGATCTGGCGCACTCCCTCCGAACTGTGGACGATAGCCACCGGAAAAGGACCGACATACAGCCCGATGATATCCGATTTATACCAACGACTGAGGGTCAAGGCAGCCTTGTGCAAGTACTTGAAGTTTATGAGCAGCATGAAGAGATAGCTGCCGAACATCGGTATCCTCGGAGGACCTGTGAATAATCCAATTAGCTACGGGACTCCTAGGCGTCGATTCCAATCCAAAACGAACCGGGAGGAAAACCGCAGGGTCGACCAACTGCATATCGATACGAAAGGAAAAGAAACACCGCGGTGCAGACCGCCAGGAGAATTGCCGTGATCATCTTTAAGTCCGGGCACCAACTGAATCCGTAGCTTCCGTGCTGCTGCGTTTTGTAGCCACGATAAGTCACTCACACTTTCGACGGACAATAACAATTAAGCAACGCCAATCTATATGGATCGGCGTTTATTCATAGATCGGTTAGCCGGTGGCACTCTGTCTCACTTATGACTTTTGTGATTTCTCGATTAACAGCGGCAGTCAAGACAAAAGCTCAAAAATTATTATGTACAGAATGAAATCTTTAAAAATAACTTTCTTCGTCCCATTTTCCTTTGTTTTTAGGGAGAATTTCTGCAATATCTCTTGTGATTCATATTTTTTCTGACAACCAAAAAAACTTTCCTTGGTGTATTAAATGTTGTCATATTTTTAGCGAGATACATACATCCTGCTTAAAAATTGGACACAACCTTAAACCATATATGAAATACTATGCTAGTTATGTGAACAGAGTTATTGATAATGTAAATATTTCAGGTACCCACTAAGAAACAATAAAATTGTATTACTTGTTTAGCAAGTATTTTTTTTTGAGCATTTAAAAGCCGATCAATCAAATCGACAGATTACATGTACTAGATATGGGTTTAAAAACATTACAATATAAAACCTTCAAGGTTAAACAAAATTCATATTTTAAAAAGATTTCTAAAATGATTTTAAGAATTAGTTTATTAGATGAATTCTTTTTTCGTTGTAATCAGTTTTTATACGTTGTAAACTAACTTATACCTCGTTCATTCAATAACTGGTTTTGAATATGCTTATTTCTGGGAGACGATGGAGTGATTCGAGACATCTCCTATTGGCTTTGACCTAATGGCGACGTCTCCAAAAATAATATTTTAAACATCCGGTAGTGGACTAACATTTAAAATGCTAAGCTGATCTTAAAATGTATCGAATAAGATCTTAATCATTTAAGAAATCGGCATTGAAGAGAATATGTTTTTGTAGTGAATAATCTGCCTTTCCTTAACACTTATTTCCACGGGGTTTTTTAATATATTTTTTAATGAGTCTTATCGTAGAATAATTAATATTAAAAACTGTGGTTAACACGATAACTTAAATAGCAATTAGAATAAACTATGCTATTATTTTGTCGCCAAGTATTTAAAACGCCGATTTGAAGTGCTATAATGGCAATGGAGCTTAACCAGGCAAATCGGAAGTCAGTTCTGACTCGTCGGCGAGGTGAGATCAATTATGGACTTGCACTTGGCGCTCTCCTTGGGCGGCGTAGTTGAAGCATGTGGATCCGTAGCTATTTCCGTGGCCAGCGAGACTAGCTGCCGCCACTGGACTACGTCGACATTTAGGCTTTGAAGATGCTGACAAAGGGACTCCAGTCCTTCCACATCGGTTGCCTTCAGATCAAAGGGTATCAACTGGTCGCCATTATCTTCACGCAGTACAGTGACACCTTTCACACGGGCCGGCAGCGCTTGCTGGTTTATATAGGTCCCTGTCGTCTTCGACAGCGTGTGAATGCTATAAAATGGAACAAAAGAACATTGCTTTTATTATTTCGTATGTGATGTACCATGTGGGTCATTGCTTGAATGTTTGTTTGCATTGGAAAATGCGCGCACATGAATTGAGCAAATATTTGATGTACATATTTACATATGTGGTGCGGTAATACTTTTGGGTTTCGACCTAAAAACCTACATTCTTTTTTAAGTCGTAATGAGCATGTTTTATATTTGTCAAAGTAATAAAAATTGGAAAATAAAATAACTAAATGGGATTACAAAATAGTTGGTTTAGGTTAACGAAAACATACAAATGATAATTAAGATTATTATATATTATGATTTATAGAGGACCTTTTGAGGTCTGCAATGAATGTAATATATATGAATGGAACTAGAGTTGCAAAATATCGAAGAAGTATAACTATATCATGGAAATATTAGCTCTATAAGTGAACAAAAAGGTTGATATTTTTCAAGATAATAAAACTCCTGAGTGCTGACCTCTCCATGATTTCGTTTTTGCGCTGTCTGTCCAACATTTTCAGCTGTTTTATCTGTTCCTTCATCACTAAGTTCCTCTGTTTGGTGGCTTCCAGTTTCTGAGCAAGATCCTCTAAGAAGGAAGCACGCTTTTCCATCTCCTCGCGGCGCTGAATTTTAACTTTTTCAAACTTTCCCACTTTTTGGTGATGGCGAACCACTGCCTCCTTGGCATCCACTAGGAAATTTAAATAAAGTTAATCAATTTAAATCGAGAAATGGCAAAGTTATGATCGCAACTCACACAAATTGCTGTTAAATTTCGAGACTTTCTTGATGACGCTAGCCTCACGGGCCTCCATACGTATTTGTTTCTCGTACATAGCCCTTACCCGCTTTTCGTAAGCCGATTCAGCCACGATTATAGCCATGTTATAACTTATTTTGCTTGCTTTTCTTAAATTCTTTAAAAATTCAGCGCCTTTTACTTTCCAGACGCTTGTTTTTTGACCTTCCAGTTAGAGATAACACTTTAGGTAAGGATGACACTTTCTAGACTTAGCAGAGCTGCCAGATCAGCAAGCAAAAAACGCTGTTCTCTTTATTCGATATTTGAAAGTTGCAGCTCTAAGGGCGGGAAATTTAAAAATTTTTGGGATAAATTCCTAATAGGTTATAGAATAAAACAAAATAAAAACCAAGAATACACTCCATTAAGATTTTAGGGCCATATTCGGTGACATCTTTGCCGATGATAAGCTAAAAACATAGATGGCGCCAATATAATACAGTACTATGTTTATTTTGATAACATTAAAAAAAATGTTTAAATTTATTTAAATATCTAAATAAAAATAACGACATGTTCTGTTACGATAGAAATATTTATTTTTTAAAAATATCGATATATTCATATTCCTAAATACTTTGCACATCTCTAAGAGCCGGCAAGCAAAAAAAATTGCAAGTCAAATTGTCAAAGCGAAAAAAACTAAAAAGCCGCGTTTTCAGAAACAATTTGTGCAATTAGTAAAGTAATTAATTAATGCGTTTGCTTTTTGGTGTAAAGGCAATTCGCACCCATCTCGCTCGCACTTACAGCAGCAGCCGCTTTGGAAAGGTAAGCAAACAAACAGGTACAAAATGTGCAAGAATCATATTGCAAAAAAAGAAAACTCGAACAAAGGTTCTAAAAATAGAGCATATAGAATTTGCATAATGCTTCAAGATAGAGCTATCTTCCATATCTATTTTGTGTTATTTGTTGCAATGCATGGATAAGATATTCCTGCACTGATTTTCTGGAAACCCCGCGAATCGGTCAACGACCCACTTGTTGTTCTTGTCGCGCCGAACTCAAGGTCACGCTGGCATTTATGATTTCAAATCAATTTGTTGATTCAATATTTCTAAAAAACAATATAATTTTAAAATAAATATATATTATTTATGGATAAGAAAAAGAAAAAACTAATGTTCAACACATTTCTGCATTTTAACAACTTACAAATTTAGAGTAATTTTAAAGAAATTTAAATGCATAGTTATATAAATACATAGGGTGTATCCCATCACGCCCTTTTTTATGGATTATTAAATTTAATTTGTTATTGTTTTATATTTTACTTTCATGGGCGTTATTGCATACCCCCCATAAGCTTTAAGGAATTTGTTATAGACATTAATATCGTTATGCAAACTAGTTGTTTTTAATAAAATTTAATCATAAATTGATTGATTTATAAGTACATTTTATAGGATCTCTATTATAAATTATATCTCAGTTTAGAAAACACTAGAAAAATTAAGTGAATTTGTCAAATAATGAAAAGGTTCGCCTTATGCGGAGTTATAAGTTAACAATATAAATGTTCAGTACTCAGCAGCCCAACGGGTAACTCCTTCATTAGCACAGATGTCCCCACCCTTAACCCGAAAGCCGCTCCTTATCTCGCCGCCTTAGCTCTCGTGATTTATGGGTGGCTGCATCAATTGATCGCCTGTGTGGAGTAAAGTTGTCGACTGATAAGCAAGTGGGGCACTTGGAGTAGTAAACCCCAGATTAACACCGATAAGATAGTACCAGAGGCTTATCGTCGGGATTGGGCTGCCATTCCCTTGTACCTCAAAATCTAAATCTTTTCTCATTCGCATACATCTTTCTTTTCCAGATGGCCACGGACGTGAAGTTCAACGACTCGCTGAGCTGCAGCGATCCGCAGTCACATCCGGTCCTGATCATCGGCCAGCTGCGCCATCTAAATCTGCTGAAGTTCAGCCATTTGGAGAGCAAGCTCAGTCCGCGTGTCACCGAAGAGACCTTCCTGAATGCCGTGGCCTGCCTGCATCCGGCGCCCACCGACAAGGTATCCCTTTATCTCGATGTGGCCACTGTGGCCGCGCTGCCTTTGAAGGCATCCCGGCATAATACCGCCTCCCGGGCTCATGCCATCACCCGACTGGTGAAGAACCATGTGCTCAACGTTTCCGAGGAGAGCGTGGTGCTGGTCTGCGAGCGGGAGAACCTGTTCGCCAGCGCCTGTGCGGTGGTCAGGGCTTTCCCCCTCTATTCCCGCAAAACGGGCAACCTACTGGCCACAAACCAATCCAAGGCACAATTGGGATGTGGAGATCAGGGCGATGGCAACAAGGATGCAGGACGCAACGTGGTGAACGTAGAGTTTCTGCTAATCAACAAAGAGGGTGGCGTGGAGTGTGAACCCCTGACTGAAGATGAGCTCAAATGCCTGAATGAGACCACCCGGGCCATCCGACTGACTGCTCGCATTGTGGACATGCCCTGCAACGAGATGAACGTGGACCACTTTATCCAGGCAGTCGAGGACGTAGGCAAGGAGTTGTGCATCACGCCGCAAGTAATCCGTGGCGAAGAGCTGCGTGAACGCGGCTTTGGCGGCATCTACGGCGTGGGCAAGGCAGCGGCTGTGCCTCCGGCCCTCGTGGTGCTCTCCCACCAGCCGAAGGGCGCTCAGGAGACCATTGCCCTGGTCGGCAAGGGTATCGTCTACGACACTGGTGGCCTGAGCATCAAGGCCAAGACCGGCATGCCCGGAATGAAGCGCGATTGCGGAGGAGCAGCGGCCATTCTCGGCGCCTTTTACGCAGCTGTCCAGTGCGGATTCAAGGACAACTTGCATGCTGTTTTCTGCTTGGCCGAGAACTCCGTCGGTCCAAATGCAACGCGGTGGGTTTTTAATTCTAGATTAGCTTAAATACTTATTGAGAAATTTGCTAAAATCATTTTGTGCCTTGGTTAAGATCTGTAATTCAGTGTTGTAAAATTAGAACTGTTGAATTAGTATTTAAAGTGTTCTGTTGTAACAAATTTCTAAATTTTTTTTGCAGTCCCGATGACATTCACACTCTTTACTCGGGCCGTACAGTGGAGATCAACAACACGGATGCTGAGGGCCGCTTGGTGCTCGCCGATGGCGTTTGCTTTGCTAACAAGGACCTGAAGGCCAATATCATTCTCGACATGGCTACATTAACTGGAGCTCAGGTAAGAGATACTGATAACCCTATAAAGATTCCCACTTTCGATAAGAACAGTCTACTCAACACGTGATTAGTGAGTAAAATCCCTGCTTAATCAGATAAGTCAAATAGATTTTTACGTAGGCATTTTTCTGAATGAATATATTATATAATAGTGAATAGAATCTAGCAAAGACGATTTAATTTCATAAAATTGCATAGAGCCTTCTATATATTGATACTGTCAGCTTTATCGAATGACCTTTTTTTCCCCCGAAATTCCGAATACTTAGGAACTTTTTTGTATCCCCTTAATCGCATTAAAGGCTACAACTCACCAGATTGAATGCACATTTCCGCCACTAATGCAGCCAGCAAATTATTTTGCCGGTGTCCAAGGTAATTTCGGTTTCCAGAGATCTTTGCGCCAGGTAACCAAAGGGGGTGGTTGGGATGGCGATGGCCTTGGATGTACTGGGTCTGCCGCCTTGTTATGCGAGAATTTATGCCACGCTTTATAAAAGTCACGAGGTTAATTGGAAAAATAAATTGCAAATTTGGTTTTCGCTGGCAACTTGGAGGAATAGCAGCGGCAGCATTGGCAGACCAACAACAGCAAAGGATTCGTCGTTTGTGGTCGCTTTTGGGTTGCAATGGGGGAGGTGTGCCAGTGGGCGGTGGGTAAATGGGCGGTGGGGTTTTCGATTTCCACTGCAGCGAAAAGGGGGAGGGAAAAAGCGGGAGCAACTGAGTAGCTGCTGCGATGGCGCACAATTACCATAAATCTTGACTGCAATTTGCTTAAAATATGATGCCAATTTACGTTATTTGTGGTTCGATGGGAAATAAATCGAAACTGGTCAGAGGGGCGTGGCATCCATCCCCTTCCCTCCCCAAAAGCTGCATTGTTCGCAGGGAAATTCCTTGGTTACCCAGCCTAAAAACTGCCAGCACTAACACCATGCTCTTCTAAAAATTTTCACATTTTGTTCAGAATTCTCGTTTTTGGCGCTTGTTGTGCTTAATTTCATTACACCCAGACACACACCTAGACGGGATGCAATAATATTAATTGCCAGCATTGGGGCAAACTGCCACTGCAAGAACAAAAAGCAGGCAACCAACACTTTTTCGCTTTTACATTTTATGTTCCTGCTGCTTGTTACACCTTTTGTCGTTGTTTTCTGTTGTTTGTAGCGGCTACTAAACACTCAAAGAAAAGATTGGAACATCCTTTAAAAGTAAAATATAAATCACGAGAATTATATAGAGTTTTGTACATTTTATTTAAATATTTCATAATCACTGCATTTGTAAACATGGGAAAAATTATATAATTTAACTGTAGGATCGCGGAAAAAGATTTATAGAAACCAACAATTTTAATATTATATAATCCTTAAATTAAATGTTATATAAACCTAAAATTAGGCATTAGGCTAGAGCAGTCTATTTATAATTGATAACTCTGATTAAAAAAAAGTGTAAAATATTTTTAAATTTATTTTAAATATATCTAAATTTTGAAAATAATTTCCATTTGCTATAAAAATAGTTCTTAAATAGTTACAAAAATAGGTTCCATTAACATTTTCTCTGATAAAACCTAGTTAGTTATATTTTTTGCAGTGTAGTGCTGCTGCTGTTGCTTTTGGCACTGCTGTTGGTGCTTTTGTTGCCGCTCCTGGTGGTGCTGCCTTTGCCTTCATTTGTCCAGCTGCAGTTGAACACGCGCCACGGAGTCCTTGCCTGTTGTTTGGGTGTTGCTCGTGCTAAATAACCTTGCACCTTTTTATTGCCAGCCGCGTCGGAAGCTCGCAATTTTGGTGCACCCCCTGCTCACAACCCCAAACCCCTTTGTCCTTTCCCTAACATTGTTAGTTGCTGTACAGTTTTATTGCTGGCATTTTGTTGATTGTTGCTTGTTTTCTATGAAACCCTCCCCGGCGAGTGCGAAACCCACTCTTAAATATATCTCCGCCCAGTGGCAGAGCCTTGAATATTTCATTTGCGATTTCTCACAAACACACTACAA